AAGAAAAGCCCATGCTAATGTGTTCACCTGATTAGGCCAAGCCCACTAAGCCTCCCTTTGAAGCACCTCAGAGGAATATCTGTGAATACCTGTGAAGTCCCTTTGGCTCTGTATTATGGACTAATCGTAGGAATCATAGCTTACATATTTGTAGGTTCTCCCCACCCTCACCTGGAGGAGATTACACAAGGGATTACAAAAGTCACTGGTAGAGTGTCATCATCCTGAGATTCCTGCACCGCAGCAGTTAGGAAATTTAATCCGGACAGAGTCTGCCAACCTCTATTTGTTCTCCAACTCAACTACTGGAAGACAGGAAGACGACCACCAGAGCTGTTACTTTGGGAACTGTCACCAATTTCTTTTAAATACTGCAGTTTTCATTTGTGATCAACAGATACTCCCCTCCAGACACACTAGTTATGGAACTAAATATATATTTTCCTAGATGTTTCCCTAAACCCGCAAATCAGAACAGAACTATTTTTTTATTTCTCCTGTTAAAAAAAGAAAAAAAAAAGAAAAAACTTCTATCAAGACATTCCAGGACTAACTTCGTAGCTGCATCAGGCTGGCAACTACAGTTTAGTCATGACCAAGTCAAGCACTTCCGTTACCGTTTTGTGCACAGACCCCTCAAACCCAGAGACTCCTTACAGTCCCTCTCCCTCTCTCTCCCTCCCTCTGCCTCTCTCTCTCTCTACACCTTAATAATAACACAAAGCAACTACTTGATTGCAGAGCTTGTTGTATGGCATCTTGAAAGTTTCTCTTCCCAAATCCAGCCTAGAAAAAGATTTTAAAACTTGATCCTGTAAACTATACTGTTATCTCTGTCTCACAGCTACATGTCAGCTGAAGGTTGATAAGCTTCCCTTCATCCACGCACTATAAGTGTTGACCAGAAGGAGCCAACAGGGCAGGCTTTTCCATTTCAATTTTCACCTTTTCTTATTAATCCCTGAGTGTTTGGGGGAGAAGCAGGGGAAAGCCTTTTAATGGAGGATAGGGGATACATGATATTATGTTTTAATTTAAACACTCAAATTTTCTAATATTTCATATCAACCCTTCGCATACTATTTCTCTCTGTAATGACAGAACCCCAGCAATGATCATTCTCCAAGTTTTCGTCAGAGAAATGGGAAATTTGCTCAACATCACATTTACCTAAAGCACAGACGCCTGCATTTTTCACTTTGCACCTCGTAAATGCAAGGCAAATGAATCCCTTCATATAGCACTCTCCACATTTTGTGCATGACCCTCCCAAAACGCGTAAGTCAAGAGGGTGACTGGCATTTATTTTCAGGCAACCAGCAAGGTCCAGAAATGTTTCCACCACTAGGTGGCTGGCAGCAGAGCACAGCAGAGCACAGGAGCGCCATGCCGGCCCCTCCACAATTTGCAGGGGAAAATGAGCAGGCAGCCAAACGCCCTCCTATCGAGTCTGCATTGTCTACACCAAGCACTCATTTTTCCTTCTAGACTTGCTTGCTGCTATCACTTGGAATGTTCCCTTCCGGGCCCTGGGTATCTAGGTTAAGACACAATGGCCGTGCTTTGCAAGTAATGTGGGTAAGGGCAGCACTTGGGGTCAGTGGGTCCAGGGCAAAGACCCTCTGCAGAAAGAAGTGTGTGCGTGCAGGCGGCCAGGGGGAGGCTGGAGCAGAGGCTGACGTGCACATTGTATCTCCAGGTGAGTCTAGCTGAGAGCAGACAGTGATGTTTTCCCCCCAGGAGGGTAGCGGCGTGAAACACCTCCTGTCACTCACTGAGAGCACCCCCATCCTTTCCTATCCATAATCTGTGTGGGAAATGCAGTCCACAGGAAGAACTGTGAGCCCTGCTGCTCTCTACCTACATCTTCCCCTCGTATTGCTCAACTCTAAGTGACAGAGAGAGAAAGGAGACCTTCCCAGAAAACCTCTTGACCACACTGTTTCACAGAAGACACGTTTGGAAAAGCTGGGCCTGTTTATTTCATTCTCACTACAATGCCAAGTAGCACTAGGCGTTACCGTTGCACCTGCCTGGGAATTCAGGCAGGATAACTGGTCTAACCGAACTGAACCAGGCTGCCCTTCCAGGTCAGTCCAAGGCCACCACCATCCCACACCCATCCCAGCTGCAAGCTGCAGGCTCCAAGCTCGGGAGCACCTGCGCTATGAAGGTTCCTGGGGCTGTCGGACTTCCGAGGACCACAACAGAAGATGAGAAAAAGCTGTCTGAGAATGGAGGGGCAAGCTTTAAGGAAAAGAGAGGAAACGGAAGAGAAATCAACCAGGCGGGGTGCGTGCAATCCTAGAACTCTACGAGGCTGAGGCAGGATGGTTTCAAGTTTGAGTCCCACATATGGAACTTAACAAACACTTGTCACAAACTAAAAAATAAAGCATGGGCTGGAGGTGCAGCTCAGTGCAAAAATCCCAGGTTCAATCCCTAACACTGCAAAAATAATTTAAAAAAAAAAAAAAGGAAAGAGAGCCCCTCGGAGTTAGACCTCATTGGAAGGTTAGGTTGGGTGGGGTCGTTGTGACGAAAATCAAGGGCTGTAACTGGGGATGTCCATCCCCTGGGGTGTCCTGCAGGTGGAATGAAACACTATTTGTCACGCCCCAGCGAGTGCCCGCCGCTGCACGCAGGAGTCAGGGCCTGAGAGAAGAGGAGAACGGAATGGAGTTCAAGATCCACGCTAGAGACTAACGCAGAGCCAACGCAGCGTTTCGTTTGCGCTGAGCTCAGCAGAACGACCTCAGGCTCAGCCTTCAGGGTGTTTGAAGGAATTTATTGTTTGCCTCTACAGTATCTAGTTCTCACCTGAGAGCCTCGCAGCATCCCAAGTGATTGCTCGTTTGAAATGAAGAATTCAAGTAGAAGTCAGGAGAGAGGAAAAGAACCTTCAGGACAGGAAAAACGTGCAGGGAAGACTGAGAGGTCACAGACTGGCCCGCCCAGGTGTACTTTGACCTACTGATTATTTTGAAAAATTAATTTCTAAAATTCATAATCAGACTGTATCACATAAAAACCCAAAGGTCTGGCTTCCCTTTGAAATGCTGCAGATCTGACCATCGCCGGCTTACCGGAAAGCATTTGTCTGAAGCTGAGTCCCAGCTTCCTTTTTGGCCCATGTGTTGAGGCCACCTGAGTCCCCACGGGCCCACCTGACCCTTTGGGCCACCTAATCTGCTAGAGTAGGGTTCGCCTCTGTGCTCTCTCCCCAAGAGTGAGCTTTGTGAGAGAGAAATCTGCAGCCAGTCCCACTCCCCGGAGTTCCCGGAGCGTGAGGTCAGCTTGCTGAGACTCCACGTGGAGCACTTTGCTGGCTGTCTCTAGAAATGTTCAGTCACTCACGGGAAAAAAAGTAAAAAACAAAGGAAAGAAGAATCCTTAGGTATCATCTCCCTCCCTGAGTTAAAATTCTGAGCTATCAGCCTCACAACACTACGACTGGTTTAAGAGAAGAATGAAGATCAAAATAAGATTTTCATGAACTCTCATATGCATGTTGAAAATACATCAGACCTGGCACAGAGATGATCAGCAATGTGCAAAAGGTAAATATATTTTAATTCTTTTAATCCCTTTAGTCTGAAAATTGTAAAGCACTATATTATCACAGTATTCAACATGCATAAAAATGCACAATATGGGCCACATTTGTCGGTTCAATCTAGCAACCACATTAAAAAAGTAAAAAGAAGCAGATGGAATTAATTTTCAAAGTTGGTTCTATTCAATGCAGTCTATCTAAAATAACGGCATTTCAATATCCAACCCGTGTGAAAATCATTCACAGGAGAGTTTCCATTTTTTACAAAGTTCTTCAAAATCTGATACGTATTTCACACATGCAGCATATTTCAATTTGGACCTACTCCTTTACCAGTTCTCAAAAACCACAGGAGGCCAGAGGCTGCCTTACTGGACCACACAGTTACAGATGGAATCTACATGACATCATGTGTTTTTCCTAAATTAACTGAGGAGGCGAGGTGGTGAAAGCAAGTGTGGATTTCCCACAGCACCCAGGGAAACAGGGAGGCCAGACAGGAAAGAGACGCCGTCTGATACAAGAGCCATGTCCTCGGTGCTCTCTTTGGCCCCCGTGCACTTCTGACCCCTTCCCTCTGTCCTTTCCCATTGTCTAACTGGGGACCCTGCTGCAGTGTGAGTACCCTGGCATGGAAAGGAGCACGGAGTGGTTGGATTCCCACCTTGTCGTTCGCAGGGTAATGACCTGCAGCAAGTTACTTAATCTCCCTGGCCTCAAATTTCTCTTCTATGAAATACAATTACTTACTTCATTACTGAGTTCAGAGGATTAAATCCTAAATTCAAACTCCACAGCACCACACTGTGCTGTAAGAGTCTTCAGTTGTTAATGGCGGGTTTTTTCCAACATTTATATATGTTCAGAAGAGGTAGCAGCAGGAAAAAAAAGATCAAAGACATGACACTTTTGTTTCAATATACACTAAAATCACGGGCAATACATTATTTCTTCAGCACTTGATATTTAAAACTTCTCTTGGTATTAGGGAAAAGCACAACCTCAGCTCATCACCCTGAGCCCAGGTTATGCAGACACAACAAAAGAAGAGGCAAACAGGAAAGCATTTCTGTTTTCACCAGTTGCATGGTGAACTTGCATGTCCGAGTACATGTGACCTGGATGATTTGGAGGCACACCTGGATGAGAGCCATGTGAGAGCACGCATGCTGAGAACTCGGCAAACATCTAAGAAACACCGCCTGGGCCACCCTCCATGGAGACGGCAAGAGCTCTGTCACCCAGGGGACACAGCCACCTCAACACCTGTAGATTCCCCCTCAGTTTGATTGTGTCCTGCAGCTCTCACGAAGCCCTAGCAGCCTTTACCCTTTGCAGGTCCCACAGCAGCATCCTCAGAGCTGCAGTCTGTGCTTTCATTTACCTGAGAGGGTAGCACAGCTCACAGCCTTGGGAAAACTAATGCAAAGAAGGGGGCACTCACCAGCTCATTCTCTTCTCCTGGGTTGAGCAAAGCCCGATGCTCCTTCTTACTGTTCCCCTCCATCTAGAGCAGATTGGTCCGGGTCCCTCCTGGCCAACTCCTTGGGAAAGTACCAGAACAACCTGTGTGTCTTTGAACTCAGTCGCTACTTGTCACTGCTGTTCTCAGGTGCTTATAAAATCTGTTGGCACACACCTTGCCGATTAGACCAACAATGGAAAGAGAGGAAATCCTCTCCTCGATCACAGGATTGGTCTGTTAATCTATCCGCTTGATGTGTGTTTTTTCTTCCTCATGTTTATTTACTGAGCTAGATGTGAGCGCCTCAGATTTAAGGAATGATGGGGGAAAGCTATTGAGCTAGAAAGATAAATAACATCACAGGCTGTCCATAAATGTCTCAGCCAGCGAATGGGAATGGCCACTCTCCTAAATCCTGAGAAAAGAGGATTAACCCATGAGGGATACATAAAAACTCTGTGGAATTGAGCCCCATAGTGGGGTTGGGTTTGGCAATCAGAACTGAAGGGAGATTGGCTCATGATGAGGAATCAGGAGTCTTTCTGGAATCAGAAAAGCCAGATTTTTAAACCCTGAAGGACTGATGACCTTGAAAAAAATTATTTAAAATCTGAATTCCAGGTTTCTAGTATGTGAAATGTCAATAGTAATTATAAGGTTGATAGCAGGATTTAAGATGATATTTATAAAAGGCCAACTAACACCCTCGACACTCAATAAGAGATAAGTAATCATCATGGTAATTAAGACTAATCAAGAAAAGAGATGCTTAGAAAAAGTAAACTATAATAATAAATTCATTTCTTTCATTTTTCTCTTTACAGCTTACAAAACGATTTCAAATAAGTGAAATGTATGGAGGAAGGAGAATCTAGAAAGACTGAGTATTAAGGATATAAGACAAATCTCCACACCTATGTAATCACCACTGAAATTGCAAATAATCTAAAAACCCACAAAATGTTAGGAAAATATAAAATGACTTCTGCCGTCTCTAACAACAATCTGCTTTGTTTAGTTCAAAATTAACAGACACCAGAGACAGTGACCATGAAACAGGACATCTGGCCTCATCCCTAACCTTGAACACCCTCTTCCTGTGCACTAGAATAGAGAACTAGAGGAATCTTAAGGTAAACTCCCCAACTGCAAAGTATTGTTATGTCTGGGTTAAAGTTAACTGTCTTGTTACCAATTTGTACATGGGTAATATGAACTGAGGAAATAAAATGTAACCACCTGAATGAGGTCATAGCTGTAAAACCTATCAAGGAGGAAACTGCAACCCAATAGGTGGTCGATCACTGGCACTGCCTTTTTGAATGAGATCGACCCTTTTCTGACAACATAAACTTTTTATTTTACTTCCATTCAGCTCATCTCTATGTGCATGTCACTTGCCAATTCCTTCTGCAACAAATTTAATATTTTCATAAAACATAAGAAAATTGGGCCATTCTAGGGTTAAACTGTTCGTGTTAAAAACTTTGACCATGGTAGAAAATTTGCTCAGAGTGAAAACTATTAAGGAATGGTATCTGATTCTTTCCATTGATTGACATTGTCATTGGTTGCCTTGAGTGAGCCTAAGTGTCTATAATGGCACTCAAGAGAGGGCTAAGTACTGCCCAGTGCAGGAACACATGGCTGATGAGAATACAGAGACATCTAGAGATTTAAGCTTTTCACACCAATAAGGCTACTGCGATGCCCATACTAAAGAAAACTACTACGCTACCGTGAATGTTGCAATCAAATCTAAGGATGGCCTCAGATTTGGAGAAATGAGTTCTGATTTCAGAAAATTTAACTAAAAACCTGAGTGACATTATCATTCATTTTCTACCCATCAACTATTTATTTGTGTATCTCGCTAAAACAACATCAATTGTGTCTGGACAACATGATGTCAACTAAAAGTACTAATGATGAATCATGATTTGTCTAAAAGTGGGCTCAGGACCCTGATTTAAACAATAAAATGTTAGTCAAAGGCAGGTTTAACCAAGGTCTTGAGGCAAAGATTATCCCGGGGCTGAAAGAAGAACATTTTTGTTTGTGTGTTTGTTTTCTATTCGATTCTTTCTTCCTTCCTTTGAAAGTTCCTGTGAAGATACAATGGGGACTATGTAGGATAGGAGCAGAGGGAGTGTCTCCACCTCCTAGTCTATGAAGCTTCTTAAAGGAAGACCCAGTGGACATGGTGGAGTGCATTAGAACCACATCTCACCTTCCTACTTGGCAAAGACAAGCTTCCTAATCCCCACTTTCCATGGACTCAAGGGAAACTAATAGGTGTTCAACCTAGATTGGAAAATTTTCTCTAGACTTAAACTCTTGCTGTTTTCTCTGCTGACCACTGGAGGGTGGCTAGAGAGTGCTGCTTCATGAACACAGTTGAGCACCTACACCCGCAAGACAGCGATTGCCGTAACAGCTTCCAATGGTGTAAGGTAGTAGAATTGTGATCCAACTTTGTGGTGGTAAGAGGGCTTTACTGTAACAATGGAAGTAGGGTGTCTTCCTTGCAGTGTTTCAGTGAACCTGGCTCTCTCCATCTATGTCTCCACCTTCTTCAACATGTGGTTTCCAAGGCTGTTGTGTGGTGTTATGGGTCTGAATGTGTGAAAAATAATAAGAGAAAATTGCTAGGGACTAGTCCTGGAAGAGGAACTTTGTTCTTATGCTAAATACTGGCTAGAACTCAGTCAGAGGACCACACTTACCTGCAAATTTGGCTCTGGATGTAATCGACGTTATTCTAGGAAGAACATAAAGGTAGTTTGGTAGCCACCAAACTACCACATAGACTCTATGATAATCTCAGCAATCAATAAAGCAACTGGTCATCCTGGATCTCAAAGGACTCACAATCTGGTGAAAGAGCAAAATCGTGCCAAAGTTACTGTTCACACTAAGCAGGAGAGAGGCTTCCCCTGCACTTCCAAGAAGCTGCATGGTGGGTAATACAGCATGAAATAACACACGACATCTAATTAACAGTGGATCTTGTTAGCTGCTTACCACAGCCACAATGGTGAGAAAGATATGTGAGTGCTGCTCCGTGACCCATCCTCTATCTGAAATGCAAAGTCAAACACCTGCTAACCAATAGATCACACAGAGAGAACCAACCATCCCTTGTTTCTTCCACCCCTAACCACCACTGAACCAAAACAACCCATGTGCTCTCTACAGCTTGAACACAAATCAGAGTGAACTTATTTTAATTGAGATAAAGAATCCTTTTATCAGCTCAAGGTGAAAGGAGGATAATGGGCTTTCACCTTCTTTGCTTTAAATTTCAATTTGGGGGATCAGTAAATTGAGAAGTTGTTGAACTGTGTCCGATTGTTCATGCACAGAAATAAGATCATATCTTATCTGGGGACAAAAAGAAGAGAAAATGTCCAAACTCTAAAAAGTTTCCATATTACCTCCCAACTTGTTCTTGCCCTGTGAATCAATTTAACAAACAGTGTTAGGATTGAAGAGGAAATAGAAATGAATTAGACAATGGCCCTACCTTTATTGTGTTACAACTCTAGAAAGGAAACGAGATGGAACACAACTGTACTACAGAAGAAATGATAGGCTGCACCAGAAGGGATGACCAGAGAAGGTGCTGGTAAAGGACAGGGAGGCTCAAACTCAAAGGATGAGGGTGTCTAGTTTGATGCGCTATTGTGGTCACAGAGAACTCTGAGAATCTGATAAATTCTGTAGATTTTTTCCTTCACCAAAAACAATGTACATATGCATAAAATAATACTTACATCAAGTTTTACTTACCCTCTATCCAGTCCAATCCTTGCATTCATAGTTCTTCATTAATCTGTTGAAAATATGCATTGCAGGTTTTGTATCAGGCAGTAGCCGGGAGGACAGCAGTGATCAAAGATAAAAGTCACTGCCCACAGGAAACTGACAGTTCAGTGGGGAAGGACTAACGGACAGAATAGATATAACACACAATGAAGCAGATGGTGTTGTGGCCTGGGAGGGAATAAGGTTAAGAATGTAATAGACAGTGCCGGTGGGGTGGAGAGTGAGACCGGAAGGAGGAAGAAGACCAGGTGGAACCACATTTTAAATAAGGCTGTCAGGGAAGGCTCTGCAGAGACCTGAAGAGCCAGGTGCACATTTCAAGAGCCTTGTCCACTTTGCTACCTTGGAAAAGTGGGTTCCAAGTTAGGAATAGCAAGTGTCAAAACCCTGAAGTTGAAGACTTGGAAAGAAACCAGTGCGCCCAGGACTGCGTGTGCAAGAGATAAAGTCATAGGATTTGAGACAGTGAGCTAGCACTGTGATCTGGCTAATTTGGCACTTAAAAAAGATCTCTCTCAAAACCAGGCATGGTGGTGCACGCCTATAGTCCCAGAACTCAGGAGGCTGAGGCAGGAGGATCACTGTGAGTTTGAGACCAACCTGGGCTACGTAGTGATTTCCAGGTCAGTCTCAACTATGTAGTGAGACCCTGTCTTAAAAATAAAAAAAAAAAAAGACCCCCCCCCGTGTGTCTCCTCTCTCTCTCTCTCTCTCTCTCTCTCTCTCTCTTTCTCTCTCTCATCTGCTTGTGTGTGTGTTTTACTGGAGATTGAACTGCAGTACCTTCACATTCAGCTGCAGATCCAGACTTCTTTTGGGGGGGAGGGGACACAGTCTCACTAAGTCATTACACCTTTCTCATCAATAGGAATTTTTTTCTTAAAAAATACAGTGTTATGGTGGTTACGCTTAATTTCCCACTTGGCTGGCCTGGGAGCCAGCCAGGAATTCATAAACCACACTTCTAGGTGTGTCTGGGTAGGTCCAGGTGGGTCATGGCTGTTAGGTAAATAGTGATGACCTTGTAAAAGAACATACTGCCAGCCTGAATTTGGAATTCCTAATGAGACCTCCCCAGAATGTCTTTCAGAGGGAGACATGAATCAAGTTTATTGAGTGGCCTTTCTGTTGACAAGCTGAAAGAAACCAGTGAGGCAAGCAGAGCTCAGTGGCAGTGGTTATGTGGCAATCGGCTCTTATACCAGTGCTTAATGTTTTATTTTGCCAGTGTACCCTGACCTGACAGTGCAGTCAGGGGGCTACAGGATGTAGGAATGGGTTGTGATTGCCCTCAGGAGTCAGGAACTCAGGAGGCTGGGGAAAAACAGGGATCAGACCTATCCTCATCCGGCACGACCTTGGGCTCTATGCTTGGTCCCTGGCCCCTTCCTCTCTGGTGCTGTCCCCTGCCACCGTGAACTGAGTAGCTTTTCTCCACCACACCCTTCCACTGTGAAATATCTAACTGGA